AGTTTTGTCAACAAGTTCCCATTTCCTATCTGGTTTCTCAGCCGGGAGTAAACTTTCCGGTTTATTCTCCACTGACAATCTAAGTGGCCATGGGCCAGTCAGTCCCTTTCCTTGGACTTCTGTTTCCTGTGCTGGCAATTATAAGGGCTGGACCAGATGGTCCCTCCACCCCTTCCTGCTCTTGCGGTCCAAGAAGTCAGGGAGGGGCCACCTGGACACAGCATGGAGCGAGGACATGAAGAGGAGCCTGAGGGACCTCATATGGGACACAGGATCGCTCCATCTCCCAAGCATCCAGGGTGTGCTGCCAGGCTCTGTGCGCCAGCAGACTAGGCCTTTCCTGCTATTATCTAATTCCCCCTTTCCAGCCCTATGAGGTACAACTACCCCATTTTGTGGATGGGGGTGCTATGGCACAGACAGGCTAGGTGATCTCCTAGGCTAATGGGCACATACCTAGTGGGCGAGTGGCACAGCCAGCCTCCTAAGGTCTGTCTGAGCCCAGCTTTTCAGGAGACCTGTGTGGTGGGAGCAACACAGCTCAGATGCTTGCCCTGTGGATGTTAGAGTTCAGTTTTGCTAACTTGGGATTGCTCCCTTGGGGGGTGCTCTTCCCTCTCTCCCTTTCGGAAGGGAGCTCAGACCCAGCCAAGCCCTTTCGCTAGGTAGGTGGCTTCTTCCTACAAAACCTGCAGGCAGGTCTGTGCCAGGGGCCTCTCCTCCTTGGTACTAGAATGGATCCTTCCCTCAGAGGCCCGCAGTTTAGTGGGAGAGATCAACAGGTACTTTGTAGCTAAAATGCAGTGTGTGCCAAAGGGTGTAAGGATGGCACCTTGAACATACAGAATGGCATCTGACAATAGTTTGGGGAGTTGGGAATATGGATTGGTGGGGGGAGTGTTGGTCCGAGTTGTAAAAGATGAGTACGAGTCCCACAAATGGAGGGGAAAGGTGTGCATGAGTGTGCTGGACAGAGGCCACTGCATGTGCAAAGCCCTGGTGGAAACCACTGCAAGGTGCTTCATGCTGTCCCACGGAACTTTCTGGAACACTGGGAAGTTTTACATCTCTTCTGTGACACAGTAGCCATTAGTCCCATGTGGCTATTGAGCCCTTGGCATGAGGCCAGTGCAATGAAGGAACTAAATTTTCAAATTTATTTCATTCTAGTTCATTCCTATTTAAGTAGCCACATGGGGCTCATGTCTACCTTCTGGGATAGCACAGGTCTGGATGAAGAGGGAAGATTCGGGAAGGTTAGGTCTGGTGATAAAGGCCTTGAATGCCCCTCTTCCCAGACACGGTGGAATTCCTGCTGAGAATCATGGGGGTCGAGAGAGCAACATCAACAAATGTGTTTCCCTGTTGTGTAGGGCTCTTGGGACAGCAGGGAGAGTCCAGAGGTGGAGAGCTGCTGGGCAGGGAGAACCTTCGACCCCAGGCTCAAAAAGCAGCACTGAAAAGGGAACTGGTGTGGAAAGGAGGGAACAGATTCCAGAGCAAACCTGGTGACTGGTTGACTGGCTTGGGGGTGGCAAGTTTGTCAAGCGTGACTCTAGGTTTCTGGCTGGGCTAACGTGGGCATGTGCCCTTCACTGAGGTGGGCAACATCTCTCCTCAGTGAGGAGGAGCTGGTCTGGGGGTGGAGCTGACACCACCCGAGCATTCCCTGGTGTGTCTGTGTCCCTATCTGACTCCCCAGGTTGGGCATCTCTTTTCCCTGTCCCCATCCCTAACACAGCACCAGTGGGGCCCGAGGAGGCCCGGGCACACACCTGGCTGTGGAATTTGTGAATGTGCATTCTGTTGCTGGGTTCGAGAGGATGGGGTGGGTCAGCTCTGTCTGTGCTCTCAACTCCAGCATCAGGGAGGAATTTGTCCACATCCCTCAGGGGCCTGAACAATGTGAGGAACGTGGCCTCTGTGGCTGTTTCTCAAAAATGCTGCAGAACTGCCCTGGTGGCAGGGTTGTACAGGGTCCTATGGGGACCACCAAGAGGGAGAGATGTAGCACTTGGCCCATCTCCTCAGACATCTGCAGCTTAGCCAGACGATGTCCCGAGCTGCACAGACCCAAGGCCGTCCGAGCAGTAATTCTGCACTCAGGCCATTGAGGTTGTCAGAACTCAGATGCACAGGACTCCACTGGGAATGAATTTCAGCTGTTAGTACTGAAGCACTCCTGATGAATGTAGCTGAAATTCCATGGGGTCTGTTTCACCCTGCAAAACAGGCCTACGGGAAAAGACTCCAGGTAATGGTGCACTGGAGCCACTGAATCAACTTCTGAGAGCTCAGCATGTATATCTCTTCCCAGTTCTGTGTCCAGTGACCTTCTATCCACTTGGTGGAAGCATTTGCACCACAGAAATTGGTCACCGCTATTTGGGATCTACCTCTCTCTCTCCCCCTCCTTTCACCCCTCCCTCTTTTCCCTCTCTCTCTTCTCTCCCTCTTTCCCTTTTTCCCTCTGTCCCTCTCTCCCCCTCCCTCCCTCTCCCTCTCTTCTTTGTCTTCTTCTCCCCCAGAGAACCAGCTTCCTACACATCACTGTGTCTAGCGATGGCATAGCTGCCCCATGGTCCTCGGGAACCCAGATTCCTTCTTCTACTCTTCTGGTTTGAGCTTATGACCACCATCTTTATATCTGCCTCACAGCCTGAGATGGCTACTGGAATTTCAGCCTTTCTGTCCGCAAGCTCTCTCCTCTCACAAAACATGGAGCTCCCATTTTTCTGTCACACCTGTTTTCGTGGCTGGCTGGCTCCTCCTCATCCTCCAGCTGCCATCTTTCTTGGTACCTCCTCCAAGAAACCTTCCTGACTACCCTAAAGTTGTCCTCTTAGTCCACATTGTTTGATTTTTTTTCTACAGCACAGAGCATATTGATAATCATCTGACACTGATTATTTTTCTCATTTATTGCCTTCTACACTAAGCAGAGGTAAGATCCCCGTTGGCAGGGACTGCTTCTATGTTGTTCTCTGCCCTAACCTCAGTGCTTCAACAGTGCCTGGTACATAGTAGTTGGTCAATAAAAATTTATTAAATGAATAAGCAATAGTAAGCAAAGATAATTTCATGTCATTTTCTGCATTCTGCCTTTGGCATGTCATCAAGAACATTTGCCCGTGTTGCCAGTCTATAAAATTAGTTGAACCAGATGTTTACTAAGGATCCTCCCTGCTCTGCTAAGACAAATGAGTGGGAGGAAGGAAAATATACACCGGTAAATCAGCTTCCCTGGGACCACTCAGCCCAAGCTGGCTGGGGACCATAGGCCCTGCTCAGAGGCTGTTTCCATGGCAATTCATTCACCTGGCAAGCTTCCTAGAGCCCCAGATCAGTGCCAGGTAGCTGCTGAGTACAGCACCTAAAGAGAGGGAGAAGTAGGGGCCCATCCTGGAGGACTCGTGTGCTAATATGGGGAGGAGGAGGGACAGACAGCAGAACAACTGGCTAGGATACAATGGCTGCAGCTCATTAAGTGCAGACAGCTGGGCCCTGTGTTGGGGAACACCTACCACATCCCATTCGTTTCTCTGACAAATAATGACTGAGGCCCTGCCATATGTTACGCACCATTCTGGACACTGGGGAAACAGCAGGGAACAAGCCGGACGAGATTCCCGCCCATGTGAAGCTAGCAGTCCAGTGAGTGGGAGGAGCGGTAACACACAGGCAAGGGGACACGGAAAGTCATCTCAGACTGTGGGAGGTGCTGTGAAGACCGTGACGCTGGGTATTGTGACAGAGGTGACCATGGGATGGTCAGACAAGCCTCTGAGGAGGTGGCCTCTGAGTTCAGTGAATGATACAGATGAGTTTCCAGGAGACAGTCTGATAGAAGAAGGCACCAGCCAGAGAAACAAACAAGTGCAAAGTTCCAGTGTTGGACAAGCTCAGGGCGATGGAGGGAGAAGCGCGCTTTGGCCGGGCAGGGGTGAGAAGAGAAGGCAACGGAGACAGAAGTGGAGCCAGGGGAAAGGGAGGGAGGCGCAGGATTGAATGAAGCAGGCACCAAAACACAGTCAACACAAATATGTAGTACACTAGTTCCTCAATCAGAAGTAATGCAAACAAGTACATAAAGAACAAAACAGCAAAAGGCCAGCATTTCTAGCAGTGCCCTGTGAAGCCGCAGTGGAACCTGAGATGAAGGAAAGATCAGAAATACAGATCCTGTTTTTATTTCGAATGGCACCATCTTGTCTCTCGTGGATTTGTTTTGTTGATTATAACAGGTGTCATCGATGTAAGAAAACACGGTACATGGCTTCAAAATCATGGTTTCCGAGCTGGGTGGGATGCCGTACACCTATAACCCCAGCACTCAGGAGGGGTGTGGGGAGCTTGAGGCAAGAGAATTGCAAGTTAGATCCCAGCCTGGGCAACTTAAAGACTAAAAGAGACCCTGTCTCAAAATTATCAAAAAGGTGATGTGGGGTGGGTGTCCTGGGTTCAATTTCCAGTAGGGGAAGGGAACCAGATGTCTGTGTTCCCATTCAACACTTAAATGCTCAACTCTGTGATTTGAAGCCAGTTTTTGTTTGTTTGTTTTACCTCTCTGTGCCTTTTTTTTCCATATGACAATAGGGATAATCACAGTGCCTACCTCTGAGCTGCTGAGAGGCTCCAGTGAATTAGAACAAGCAAAGGGCTGAGAACAGTGTTGAGCCCTTGGCAAGCGCTTAGAACATGGGCAGTTGATCTGTAGCTAACTTGTGCTAGTTCAGCCTTGGTTTCTATCAAAGGTCTGAGCACAACCAGCCCTCAGCAGGGAGAGGGTGGGGACCATGTGGAGATGGAAGTTGTACTGAGTCAAGGAGACCAGAAGCTCCAAGGACAGCCAGAGATGAGGCTGTGGCAAACATCCAGATGAAAGATGGGGATGGATTCTGGGGATATTCAGGAGACAGACTCTACCTGACTTGGTGGCGGAACTGTAGCAGGAGCAGCGTCTTGGGGCTGACCAAGGAGGGATGACGTCAGAATAACAGTGGGGGGGGCTCTCCATCACCAAGGCAAGCCCACGTCCCCACACCTCGCTGCTGTGTGTTTTCCAGAGGGAGCTGAAAGAACAACTCCAGGCCCTCCAGGACAGCGAGCGGGAGCACACTGAGGCACTGCAGCTGCTCAAGCGACAGCTCGCAGAGACTAAGGTGAGCTTGGCCTGGTGCGGGGCTGTGGCCAAGGGTGGGGCTTCTGTCAAAAGAAGTGGGTGGTCCACCCCTAGGTAACGGGGCAAGGATGTGGGCTGGTGACTGGATGAGGGATAGGGCCCCTTCTCCCTTGTTACTTGGGTGGAAGTTGACGTGAGACCAGGGATCCCCAGGAGCCTCCGGTGTCCTGAAGGGCTGGGGAGAATTTACCCCTTATTAAACACGCATAAGGAGAGCCAACCCTGAGCACGTCCCCCCCAAGCCAGCAGGCTCTGGCTACAGTCGTTTCCACTGGGGTTCCTTGAGCAGAGAGGAAAGATGGGTTCTGATCCAGCCACTGACTGACTGTACTTTTCTGGGTCCCAGTCTTTGCATCTGTACAGTGGGGCCTCTGCAAGGCTCAATTCAGAGCTTCAGAGCTGGAAGAAACCTAGCAGAGCCCCACCTCAATTCTCCCTCCGTGCCTCCTCCCCAGGAACTCAGCACAGTGACACCTAGGGTCTTTCAGGCTGGCTCTGCTCACATAGCAGGAGAGCTGTGCAGCTGGAGCCAACCTTGGGAACACCTGAGCCTCCGGAGGTCATCTTGGGGCCATTAGAAACCTAGCTCCCTGCCCCAGCAAGGCCATCAATCCCCTGAGGGGGTCCCAGAAAGGGCATGGCACACTTTCTTCAGAGGACATTCCAGAGTGTCTCTGGGCAGGACCCTCAGTAGAAACAATCACAGCACTATGGTCTCATTGCTTTGCACAGCATCAGTTTCCCCATGTGCTTGTGACTGGACCTCTCCAGTGCTCAGAAGCAAAGAACGTTTCTCTTTAGAAGAGTGGGAATCTGAGGGTCTGTTTCTCCCCACTCTGACAGTATTCTTGTCTCTCCCCCACCACCACCATTGTTTTTCTCCACTGACCTCTTCCCCCCATTTCCTGTCCATCTGTCTGCCTCTGGGGGAGGGGGCTCCCTCCAGCCCCCCAGGCTGCTTCCTGTCTGGACTGGGGTATTTATACAAGAAATGCCTATGGAGCTTTTGAGGTCATATTTCACCTGGTGCCTGACTCACTTTCTTGTGGCGCCTGTCCCTCCAATGGCCTAGCCTGGTGGTCTGTCTGATCTCCCTCCTCAGGCCCTGTGTTTTCCTTGCTTGGCCCTGGGGGTGACGCATTGGTGACAGGGTGCAGCCTCTTCACAAGCCCTGTGTGTTCCAGGGGACATAGTGGGCTGGGCAGCCTCTAGGCTGCTTTTCCAGACAAGGCACCAAAAGGAGGGTGAGGGGGAAAGGTTGGTTCTGCCCACCAATGCACTAAGGTAACTGAGGCATTCCTGTGGAGTTGAACCTTTCCCTGTGCTGAGAATTTTCTCTTCATTGTTTCACTGAAGCCACAGAATGTCACCTCCATGACAGCAAGACTTGCAAAACCTAGCAGAGTCAGACACACCATAAGTAGTTGTGGGGCAAATGAGTGAAAAGAAAAATAAAACACCCTTGGAAGTAAGAGAGGTTGTTACCCCACTTTTATCAGCAGGGAAACTGAAACAGAGAAGTTGAGGCACCAGCCTGCAGCCCCACAGCTACTAAGTGGAAATTGGGAGCATCCAGTCCAGCTTTTCCTGAGCCCAGTACATTTTCCAAACTCACACCGAGTGTCCTCTGTCGGATATGTGGTTTTGTGGCCAGCAAGCTGGATGGAGAACCCATCAGGGACATGCTCAGGGGTCCCAGGATGGCTGTTATTCTCATGTGCCACTCTGAGCTGCTTTCTCCCTGCCTCCCGCCTCCTTTTCTAGCCATCTTCTCTTGTCTTGGGGGCACTTGACTCCCCAACCTGGAAATAGCCTGTGCCCAGCTTCGTGAAGCCATATTGAGCAAGATTGTCCCTGCTTTTCCCTCCTTTACCACTCAAGCAGCTCCTGACTGCCAGCCCTGCTCCAGGCCCTGTGATGGGTACCAGGGACAGAACCAAGGAAAATTTCATTTCTACTCAGCAGGATCTCACCCACTAGCTAGAGAGGGCGGTGTCTCAGCAGTGTTTACAAAAGGCTCTGGGAACATCTTAACTCCCTGAAAAAGTTTTTTAAAAAGGTATTTCAGAGGAGGTAGTTCTCAAACTGGGTCTTGCGGGATAAGAAGGAGTTTGCCAGCTGAACAAAGGGTTGGAGGGTTTGGTCTCAGCAGGTGAGATTGCAATGTATTGATAAGTTAGGATCAACTTGAGAAGGGCTTTGACTCCCAGACTAAGGAATTTGGTGTTTACTATCATCAAAGAGCCAAAAAAAGTTCTTAAACACAGGATGAGCTATGACACAGTTGGCACTTTAGAAGGATCACTGTGGCAGTGAGTTTGGGAATAAGACAGGCGTTGCCTTTGTGAAACAGATAAGTTGGGGGACCTGCGGGACCCCAGGGGGATGTGTTGGGGAGATAGTTGGAAAAAGACATGTGGCACTCAGGAGCCATGTGAGCCCATCTTACAGATTGGGAGCCGTCCTCAGAACAGTAGGAATGGAGGAGGAGGGCGGGCTTGCAGGCTGAGATGGGAAGGAGCTGGCCTGCGGTGACCCTCCGAACACAGGTGGCAGAGGGGTAACCAGAGATGAGAGGCTGACCGGCCTTTCAATCAGCAGTGGGGGCCGATGTCCTGGCTGCTGCAGGAGCTATACCAGGTAGCCATGGGACTGGGGGCCTTGGGGGCAACTCCAGAGAGTGTAGAGTGTGGGGAGGGAGCAGACCCCATCCCTCCCATCCACAACAGGCTTCCACAGGGCTCCCCTGGGTGAAGGGCGCAGGGCGTCCCCCGAAGCCTAGCCATCCAGCCTAGCCTCTCCTCTACCCTTTGTCTGCCCAGCACACTGGGTGGGCATGCGCAGGGAGGTTGGCCCACCGCCAGCCTTCTTCCTGCAGGGCCGGCAGCTGAGCGGGAGGGAAGAGGCCCTAATTGAGCCTTTGTGAAGCTTCCCACAGAGCCCTGGGCACTGAGCACAGTGGGGTCTCTGACTCGGTGAACTACCAGCCAGAATCCTGCAAAGTGAAATTGCGGAGGCAGGCCCCACATGCTGCAGTATCCTGTGTCTCCTGTGTTGCGTGACTGCTGTCCCCCCACCCCAGCTGACGCCTTGCCCGTCCTCAGGCCTAGCTCTGAGGTCTTTCGTCCACGAGGACTCCCACGCTGCACCCATTAGTGTTGATTCCTTCGCTATCACCAGGCACTTTCTCCACACCTGAGACCCAGGCACTGGGCAGACAAACATTCCTTACTTCGACTTCACCACTGCTCTGCTGTGTTATTTTACCCCTTTTACAGATAAGAAAATTGAAATTCATAGAGCTTAGGCCACTGAGATCACCCCCAGCTAGAGACCAGGGCTGGGACTCTTCCCCAGGCTGCCAGGCATCAAAGCCTTTGCCCTTCCCTCCTCCAAGCCCAACAGGCCTCTCAGTGCCCACTGGGCAGAGAGAACCGTGCAAGTTTATGCTGACTTCCTGTGACAGAGGCCTTACGCTTTAGTTCTCGTTCCTTAGCTGTGGATCTTAAGGGTGGCAAGAAAGGCAAGTGACCACCAGTGTCACGTTGCCCTTTATGAAACTCTCTGGCCGCCTTGATCTCCTTGTCATCTCCCCTAAAGCACCACAGATGTGTGTTAAAAACAAAGAGTTCCCTGCCACCTGCCGCACAAGCACAAGGACCCAAGCAATCCCCGA